AAAATTTATTTTTTTAATCTTCCTCTAGTCAAGTTCTGAATGTCAAGCCATTGAGGCTAGGTCAAATGGCTACTTACTGTCTGCAAGTTTGGGTGTTCTTGTATATCTCCCCTCACTTCATATCAGCTGGATGCTTCATTCTCAGCTGTAACCCTCTGTGGCTATGTCCTTGATCATGGGCTCAGGTGTGCCCAGTTCTCACCAAACTTTGGACCAACCAGCCCTTCCCTTCTCTCTCACATCTCCAGGTCAACGGGAGTCTATGGAATGTGGCTGAACTCAGCCAATTTCTGCATTGCTACCTTTTCCCTCTTTCACTCACCAGTAGATCAATGTGGTCACCAGCAAGCTTACATGCCTGTTTGTGTGTTCCCTTAACTGAGTCTTTATAACAAACTTCTATGAAAGATTGGGCAGACAATTATCAAAACCATCTTACAAATGAGGAAACTGTGCCAGCCTCAGAAACTGTCTTGATTTTTACCAGTCCCCGCGTATTTGCTGAAGAAATCATTGTAACCTCAGTGCTCCTGGGTCTGTAGGTCAGTTCTCTGACGTGGGAATTTGGGCTGCAGGATATCAAATAACTGCCAACTCCTAGCCAAGAAATACACTTTCCTCTGCAGCACAGAATGTACCAGACTGCAGTCTGGATACCAGTACCTGATTTATCTTCAAGACTTCAACATGATATAGGGCATCATATCGCCAAACTACCTCCCACATCATATCAGAGTTGATCCAATATGTTTGTGTCTTTTCCCAATGCCTCTAAACCATTCTCTACACGTCTAATTTTAGTCATCAATCCCTTCTGGCCAGAGGCCACAGCTGATTGTGTGTTCTGGACAGTGAGTGACTTGAACAGTGACAAAGTTCACAAACGTCACCACTCATTCAAGGATAACAACTCAGTGGACACTAATGGACAGATACAAAAAACTCTGTGCACAGGCCAATCATACTTTCTTCCTCTGATTTACCCACTGAAACAAAAGTCCACACTGATGAAATGTAATTACCAAAAGTTTGTGGCTGAAATGATCAAGAAGAGAAATTGGTTACATTTCTCTATGAAACAATTGTAGAACAAATGCAGGGGTGAGAAGGAGACAGGGAGGGGAGCTAATAGTGATGGGGAAATTGCACTGATTAAAGGGTAGGGCTGCACAGTCAATTACAGCAATTGCTGTCAATATGTGGTATACCTGTAAAATACTGAATTACTAAAGGTTGTGTGAGAGCTATCTCTACAACAACAAAATAGTAGCTATTGAGGTGGCTTACGTCCAGCCAAACACCTCATGGGATTTGATTCGTTGGTTGGAGGTTTAGGGTCATGGTTTCATGAGATATCCCAGTTAAATGGCCTAACAATGTAGTTAGTGATTCTGTTCTATTTTCTGGTTGGTTGAATAGTGCCTGGGGTTTTTAAAGCTTGCTACCAGCTATCCAAGGCACAACAGTTGATCTCTATTTTCCTGGTGCAAGAGACGAAGGAGAGTCCTCCATGAACAACTGCCTCCTGTACAATGAGGCCAGAAGACCTGGAAAGTGTCCAGCTGCCATTACTAAACGTTTGGTCAAGGCATCCATAAAAGAATCCTATTCAAAAGTGAGAAAATGCAGAACACAATTCCAAATTTTCATGGACTCTATCTAGACTTTCTGGAGCCATGGGAGGTGATGAATTCCTAAAACTCTGTGCTGAGATCATCTTTAAACCTTAAACCAAAAATATCCCCTGAAGGCATCTTAAAACCAAATAATTGTTTAGCTAAATTATTTAAAAAAAAAAAAAAAGATTTGTCTTGAGCATTGCACTCTTTTAAGAATTATTTACATGGGATCAAACAGCAACTTGAAAGATTATATAGGAAACTTAGGAGGCAGTAAGTTTATGTTAATGAAGGAGGAACAATTCAGGAAAGGAGGTAAAAACAGTTGCAAAATTCAAAGAATGTAATCAATGTCACTAAGTGCTGTTAGGTTAATTCTGACTCATAGCAACCCTGTGTAGGGTTTCCGAGGCTGTAAATCTTTAAGAAAGCAGAAAGCCTCATCTTTCTCCCACAGATCTAATACTTATCCTCTAGAGCCACTGCAATCACAAAGTATACATATAGAACTGTTGAACTGATGCATATTTTGCGGTGCACATTTTCAACAACAAATAAATACAATTTAGGGAAAAATTATATTGCAATTGAAAGTTGAAAAAAAATTCCTAAAAACCTGCCCACAAATGTCCATATATGCATTGTTCATAAAAGCCAAAGAATGGAAATAACCCCAATATCTATCGATTGATAAATGAGTGTATAAACAAAGGGTCGTTATGGATGGGAACTGACTCAATGGCACTTAACAGCAATATACTACAACATGGATGAACTCCAAAAACATTATGCTAGAAACTAGTAAAAGCAACCAAACACAAAAGGCTACAGATCCTATGGTTCCAATTTCAATCAAATGTCCAGGAGAAGCAAAGCCATAGAAATGGAAAGTAGATTAAGTGTTGATTGTGTGGATCATGACAAGCTATGAACAACATTGCAAAGTATGAGTATTCCAGAACACTTAATTGTGCTCATGAGGAATCTGTACCAGGCAGTAGTTTGAACAGAACATGGGAACACTGAATGGTTTAAAATTAAGAAAGGTGTGCAACAAGGTTGTATTCTTTCACCATACTTATTCAACCTGTATGCTGAGCAAATAATCCGAGAAGCTGGGTTCTATGAAGAAAAACGTGGCATCAGGATTGGAGGAACACTCATTAACAACCTGCGATATGCAGATGATACAGCTTTGCTTGCTGAAAGTGAAGAGGAATTAAAACATTTACTGATGAAAATGAAAGAGCACAGTCTTCAGTATGGATTACATCTCAATGTAAAGAAAACAAAAATCCTCACCACTGGACCAATAAACAACATTCTTATCAATGGAGAAAAGATTGACGTTGTCAAGGACTTCATTCTTCTTGGATCAATTATCAGCACTCATGGAAGCAGCAGTCAAGAAATCAAAGGATGTATTGCATTAGGCAAATCTGCTGCACAACACCTTTTTAAAGTGTTGAAGAGCAAAGAGGTCAGCTTGAGGACTAAGATGCATCTGACCCAAGCCATAGTATTTTTTAATAACCTCATATGCATGCGAAAGCTGAACAGTGAATAAGGAATACCATAGAAGAACTGATGTTTTTGAGTTATGGTGTTGGAGGAGAATATTGAAAGTACCATGGGCTGCCAAAAGAACCAATAGATCCATTCTTGAAGAAGTGCAGCCAGTGTGCTCCTTGGAGGCCAAGATGGCCATACATCATGTCTCATACTTTGAACATATTGTCAGGAGGGACCAGTCACTGGAGAAGGATATCATGTTTGGTAAGGTGGAGGGTCAGAGAAAAAGAGGTTGACCTCCAATGAGATGGAGGGGCAGCCAAGGGGCAGCATCGATGGAACTCAAGTGTGGCAACAGTAGTGAGGTTGGTCAAGGATCGGGCAGTGTTTTGTTCTGCTGTGCATAAGGTCGCTATGAGTTGGTACCAACTAGATGGCACCTAACAACAAACAACAAAGGGAAGGAGGCAATGACAAAATGAGGCTGCTAATAAATGTGGGGTTTCTTTTTAGGAGATGGAAATGTTCCGCAATTTATACAAAGGCGATAGCTGCTCAACGTAGTAAAAATATTAAAGCCCACTGAATTGTCCACTTTAATGTTATGTGAATTTTATCCCAAAAGAACACTGCGATATTGACAACAGATATACAGTGAGTCTCTAGATGATGGATCTGACTGTTAAATTCAAAACTTTCAGCCAAACCACAATACTTTTTTTTTTTTTTTGAAAAGCAAGTAACACATGTCAGGAATTCAACATATTATAAAGAAGACAATTCAAATGATTGCTATTGCAGTCGAGTCAGTTCTGACTCATATAAGGTCATAAATCGTCACAGGAGCAGAAAGCCTCCTCTTTCTCCTGTGGAGTGACTGGTGGATATGAATAACTGGCCTAGTGGTTAGCAGCCTAAATCATACCCACTATGCCACCAGGGATCCTTGTTGTTACTGTTAAGTGCCATCGAGTCAGTTCCGACTTATAGCAACCCATATAGGGTCCAAGGAGCAGCTGGGAGTTAGTAGACAAATACCCATCCTATAGTGATATAACTATGATATGGGGGGAATAAAGCAAATGAAACAATTATCTCATATGTTATATAAAAATGCATTATAGGGTGTTTAAAGATTAACTGTAAAAAAATACATTATAAAACTTCTATTAAAAAATATTCAATATCAGAAAAAATGGTCACTATATAATTTAATAAAGAAGTTGTAGCCAAACAATAAACACATTGTTTTACTTAAAGAAAGATACATGATATTTCCCAAATAACTAATGACATGGAGAGACATTTATAGCATAGTGTTAACTTAAAAATCAAAGCAAAAAATAGTATGTATAGTGCAAATGTAAATTAAATACACACAGAAAATAAACAAGGCGGCTATACATGAACAGGTTAAGAGTCTCTCCCTAAGTGTGGAGAGATTGTGCATGATTTTTACTTTCTTTTCAGTTAACTTTAATTTTTTACAGTCAACATATGTCACAACTGTGAAATGAAAAGGAAGGTTACTTGTAAAAACTGAACTGATCTATCCACTCTATTGCTGTTGAGTCCATTGAGACTCATAGCAACACCACAGGACAGAGTAGAACTGTCCCTCACAGTTTGCGACACTGTCATTTTTATGGAAGCATACTGTCACATCTTTCTCTCATTGAGCAGCTGGTGGGTTTCAACCTTCAACTTTTCAGTTAACATTCAAGAGCTTTAACCACAGCACCACTAGGGCTCCTTCTGACCTATCCTACCAGCTATCATTTCCCACTTCAGCTCACACAAATGTCTAAGGCAATGTTATAGCAAGAGTTCTGATCCCAGTAACCACATGCTTCCCATTGTCAGCATTACCTGGAAGACGTCCATTAGGATCACAACTGCCAGCAACATGGTAACCATTTCAAACTGTCCTGTCTTCATTTTTCACTTCTAAATTAAAATGAAGAAATTTCAATTTAGTGGACTTAAAAAGCAGTTTAGAATAGAGCAGGACTCATATTAAAATGAAGAAATGTCAATTTAGTCGACTTAAAAAAACAGTTTAGAAGACAGTAGGGCTCATCCACTGCCATTCTGTCAATTCCAGCACATAGCAATTGTAGAGTTTCTGAAATTGTAAATCTTATGGGAGCAGACAGTCTCTTTTTCTTGTGATACAGCTGGTGGGTTTGAACTGCCAATCTTGCAGTTAACATCTAACCCACAGTGCCTCCAGGGTTCCTCAGAGCATGACCGCACTATATACTTTTTCTAGGTGAGAATCAACAGCATGTCATTAAATTTCAAAGCTGGGTCATTAGGATCTAACACTCATTCTACAAACAAGGAAACAAAAGCTCAGAAAAGTTAAGTATGTTGTTCAAAATTCAATCTATTTCCATACTTTTCCAGCCATGTCCCACCACCTGTTGTCGGTCAGTCTGTCACGCTGTTGGTGGTTTGTGTGCTGCTGTGATGCTGAAAGTCATGGCACTACCGTTTCAAATACCAGCAGGGGAATTCACAGTAGACAGGCTTCAACCAAGCTTCCACGCTAGACACAATTAGAAGAAAGGTCTGACGATCCGCTTCCAAAAATGAGCCCATGAAAACCTATGGATCACACTGAATATTGTCCAGTGTAAAGCTGTGAAGGATCTCCAAGTACCCAGAGGCCACAACAATACAGTCGAACATATCAATAATCATGAAGATCATGTAGAACTAGCAGTGTTTTGTTCTCTTGTCACCACGAGCTGGATCCATTCGACAGCAACTAACACTAACAACCAGACATATTTTCCCACCATAGTGATGGTGGTGGTGGTGATGTGCCATGAATTGCTTCCAACTCATAGCGACCCTGCATAAGGCTTCTGAGGCTGTAAATCTTTACAGGAGCAGACTGACTCATCTTTCTCCCAAGGAGCTGCTGGTAGAGTCAAACTGTGGTTAGCGACCAATTCGTAACCCACTACATGCTCCCCGAATTACCACCGTAGTCACTAGTAATCATATCTTCAAATATCCCCCTCAGTATACACAGGAAATAATACCATCAATCCGAAAAAACCATTTCAAATTGGTCCCCCTAACTCCAGTTTCCAAGAATTCCCCAGGAGTTACAGCTTTTTTTGCAGGGTGAGATGGAGAGATAATGTGGTCAGTACTACTACAAAGCAGTAGTTCATCTGAGAAGACCTCCTTTCTCAAAATCCTCACAATTTAGAGAAGTCCAGGGTAAAACAGTGTCTTACATAACTTTCTGAAGGCGGGAACATGAGAATAAGAAGAAACTGGTAGGCAGCAGTTCTAACAAGATTATACAACTCTACTGGCCAAATGCCCAATATTCATTTCAGTGTTTATGAAGCTGAAAGGGGTAAACAAGAGGCTAAGTGGCCCCCAAGGGCTGAAGCTGCCATTAACCAATTCGATTAAAGTTGGGCTACAGTTCTGTCCACAAAGCTACAACAAAGCACACATTACTGAAACAAAAACAGAATCTCTAGTTTATCCCACCACACTGTACTCTGGCTACTGAAAATGAGAACAAATGACACAGGGAAAGGGAGATAGCTTTCCCTTTGCAAATGCTTTTGACTCTAGATTCTCATCTTTTTTCAGAAGCAGTTTCTTTACTTAAAATTTCTAAAACACAACACCAAAAATACCACATATGTGTCAAACTTCCCTTTTCCACCTATGATCTGAAATATAAGACATAGCAGGTACTTATTACAAGGTAGTATGTACCAACCAAGCTCTGGATCAGGACTTTCCTGAATATTCTTCACTTGTGTAGTCTGAGTATAAATAAGTAAAAATGGTTTACCTGGCTTGTCTGCCTTTGGTGGAGGTTTAAATGATGCTATGTCTCAAACTGACTCTCCACTGTCTTAGTCGTGTCTTCCGGATAGGACGTTGTTGACAGTGAGAGTTGAGAAGGGAATGCTTTTCTTTTTATAAACACCCCAGCACAGGCTTGGCAGTGGCACATTACCCTACTTGTGTTCTGCTATTTATATCTGGCCCCCACACTATCCCTTGGAATCACTGCTGTTAACACATGAAATCTCCAAGAGGCTTGTAAAGCCACAGCAATTCCTTCTAAGTGTACAGCATGTTCAGTTAGAGGCCCTCCATTCAGGGCTTCTCTCAGAGAGAAATCACTTCCCAATTCCTAACCCTTTGACTCTGAGTTGTCATGCTAAAGCATGTATTCTACTCTAAGTAGATGGTTCAGATAACTAAGAGGACTTCTGTGTTAATCACTGACCGTGGTGATGACTATCACCATTCACTCAACAACCTTACTGTATTTCAGGGACCATGCCACGTACAGGGATACACAAGCAAGCAAAACAAAGTACCGGAAGGTACAAAACAAAGTACCAAAGTACACTCTAATAAAAGATATGGATATGTATACTTAGCCAGAATACAGTATGTTAAGAATCCCAGTATAAAGCAAGTCCCTGTGAAAACATTAAAGAGAGATAGCTTTGGTAATGTGCTGTCAGGTGCTGTCCAGTCAGCTCCAACTCATAGCAACATTACACATGACAGAAGAAACACTACCCAGTCCTGCACCATCCTTACAATTACTGTAATGTTTGAGCTCCTTGTTGCTGCCACTGTGTCAGTCCATCTTGTTAGGAGTCTTCTTCTTATCACGGACACTCTACTTTTCTAAGCATGATGTCCTTCTTCAAGGACTGGTCCCTTTAACAACGTGTCCAAAGTACAAGAGCAAACTCTTGCCATCCTTGCCTCTATGGTGCACTCTAACTGTGCTTCTACCAAGACAGGGTTGTTGGTTCTTCTGGCAGTCCATGCTACTTTCAATATTCTTTGCCAAAACCATAATTCCAATATACAGATTCGTCTATGGTCTTCCTTATTCACCATCCAACTTTCACATGCGTATGAGGCAATTGAAAATGCCAAGACTTGGGTAAGGAGAACCTTAGTTCTTTTTTTTTTTTTTTTTTT